GTCTATTCAAATGAAAAAAAAAATCTCCATTACCTTATTCAAGTTATTTCGATGACTCCAATGTGTTACCCAGTTTTTGATCATAAAATCGAGAACTATTCCGTGATATTTCATCTTTTAAACATAATTGGACCGATTGAAAATACTCCTATTGAATACCGGATGCTCATTCCTCCAATTTTGTTAGAACTGAACCGTACATTTCTTTGTCTAACAACTCGCAAATATTTTCCATTTCTTGAAAATCATCCCCGAGGGTGAATATTATCTTCATAATACATAAATATACGTAATCCTTATGTACGAGCTCAATATTTCAATTTTCAATTAATCATCCTTTCATGTTCTATCAATTCAAAGACAAAATATCTCCAGTGAGGTTAATCCTTCATGCCTTAGTGTGGCACATCTTCTAGGATTTCCTCCTTCACCGTAATAGTGTTCAGAACCTACTGTTAAACTCCGTAATCTCTAGAATATCAACCAAGCAGCTACTTATCTGGATGTGGTTTGGCTAGGACCACGGGAGACGCTGAATTATAAGGTGATTATTATGTACGGAAACGATTTCCACTTGAAACCAAGTTACAATCTTTTCATTGTGATTTTACATACACATCATCATTTTTGAGCTCAATTATTTAATTTCATATTATATTTTCATAACATAATTATATCATATTTGCGTATACTTCATTTCTGAAGGAATAATAAAAAATGATAAACGATACCAATGTTCAAGAGTATTCTCAATATTTGAAAGGTTATGTATATACTGACTAAGATATTTTGAACCGAAACATTCTCAACTATTTCTCCAATTAAAGAGCATTCACATTTGCACTGATATTGAAATTTATCATGATTTCCATCGAGCATGTCGGGGATTTGTTATTATTGTTTTCATTCCGTATTGTTATTGAACTATAGGCACGTTGTGAATGACTTATTATATATTTTTGATTGATATAGGTGTTCTTGGCATTCGAATTGCATTTCTTGAATGATTTTATCAAGAATAAAGAAAAATATTTGAAATTACCTTGATTTGAAGACAAAAAACTGGCAAGAATGAGACATAGAAAGAACTTTTTTCTGAATTGAAATGAAAAATTAAGAGTGGAGAAAAAAATCAACAAAGTTCAGAGATAAGCTTCAGACTCTGTGAGTCTGGTCTGGTGCCTAATATCATCTCTTCGAAAAGGAATGGAATGATTTTTATTCAACTTTTCAGGCTTTTTCGTAGTCGAGATATTGGAAAATTATAAGAAATATCTGATATAACTAAATTTCTCACTTTGTTATCACCCATAATTCATGCTGCTTCACTTGATTACTTTCGAATAACCCTTTCCACTAGTGCCTTCGTATGGAAAATGGAATTGACAAAGATGATGAATAGAAAAAAAATATATGAGTCCATTATGAGGAATGATACTCATGGAAAGAAGCTTAGGCGCCTCCACCATGTCACGTTGTAATGGTTGTTTCCACTTTGTTACGATAAAATAGATGGTTTCTCCATCTATATCGAATTATGCGAGAGAGAATATCTGAATAGGCACTAAAAGTATAGAAGTAACTGAAACAATGCATATGAAAACCTAATAACAACTTACATCATGATGACTATTATGACAAGCTCTTGTAGACTGTTGGCCCGTGACACAGGGTTTATCGATGTTTTAAGTCTGTATGCCATTTAAGGGATCCACTCACTCAGTCCGAGTTAACAATAAGAAGTGCCTCGGAGAGTCGCAACCCAGTCCTTGCCCCGGCCCTGACCTCACCTTTCGGTTGGAAAAAATTTCAAAATTTTGTTTAAGAAGAAGCTCGGCAATGAAGTGCAATGATCTTATCTCACGAGAATTGGGGCGCTTGCCGGTTTGCATACGCCTAGGTTACTCCCCAAGGGCGGCATACGAACCGGAAGTGGAAATTTTTCAGTGTTATAGTCGATGATCGAAAAATAATGTACGCCCTTTGGCGAAACAATAAATTCGGACCCATTAATCGTTTTCCTGACATTTGCATACGATTCCGGAGAGGGGAGCTCGACTTATTCGAACATCATTTGACTGGATATTCTTCAAATAATCGATTATCGAAGAAATGTTCAAATTTTGACCATGGTTAGTGGACCACACAGTATATATGAGATGATGGTTTGCATATAATTTGCACATTCCGTACAGGGTGTTTCACCTTAAATATCTCCCATTATAACTTAGTTGTTTCTGAACCGATTTTAAAATTTCAAAAACCAATTAAAATGATTTTCCTGAGAGATTTTTCATTGTTATCAAAAAATGCACAGGTTGTTCATAACAAATAAACTATTGGGTCGTTGTTGATTTCTTTTTACTGAAACACTATTCTTTACCTCACTATCGAGTTGACATTATTATGACGAGTACAGCTCTACAGCATCTAGCGATATCATTTACACGCAGCACTCTTATAGCAATCATGCGCCAAATTGTCAAATTGTGCCAGAAATATGAATCCCGGGTTTGAAGTATTTCCTTTTTTTTGCTGAAACAATTCTCATATCTGAACAATGATTTGCTGCAGCAGCCGGGTAGGGTGTAGCACGTAATGATTTAGTAGGCATTCAATAATGTTTTTTCCTTTTGTCGGAGATCCGATATTTAAATATCTCAAAAACCATTTACTTTTGTATAATGTATATTATAGATTTATTCACTTCTTACTGCCTTCCCTACCAGTGCTATGAATCGGATTACCAGTAACCCTGTATATAAGAGCAGCATGTGAATCTTATCACTAAACTCAACTATACTGGGTTTGATGAAGTCATGTCATTGTCAGTTAGATGGAAAATAATGAAGGGAGCTGGGCCCTTGATTCTTTTTCTTGGTACGATCATAATCTCTGAGAGTTCAACTGAGAAAGTATCAGGTATATCTTTCGATCATGCCAAGATTTTTCAATAATCAAATAATATTCTTACTAACAGGTACTGATGACAACTCAGGAGAATCATCTTCAGACAGCGAGAGCGAAGATGACTCTGAAGATAATGATAGAGAGGACGACGTATAATTTCTCCTTTGAAATATAATGTTGTTCTCATTTAATATAATTTCATTTTCAAATAATTTTTTTTTATGTGGAAAACAAAAATGTAGATCAAAGTTCAGGACCCCATACTATACTCAAAACATTCAACAAACTAAATGAACATTCTTTATATATTTTTTAGACGCCAGTATAATGATAAGCAGACCCATAAGCCCCAGGAAGAATTTCAATTAGATTTATTGTGAGTTTCGATCATGAGCAATAATCCACCCCCCTTCTCCCTGTACGATCCCTCTTGATCATCCTGTGGGTATCTTGTTGTAAATTTTTTTCATCATCTTTTAAAAACCCTGTTTTTCAAATTAAAATCACATAAAAAAATTTCTTGGTACTAAACCTCTCACACATGTAATTTTGTTGAGCTGTAAATTTCTGATGGATAAATACAAATATATCTGCAATTTGCGTCTTCGAATATCCTCATCACTACCAGGAAGATAATCTTCGACCCGGTTTCATGTGAAGTGAGATTATGAGACTTCCCGATTATCTAGTTCGCTTTCGGTGCACCTCTGGCCTGCAGTGCGGGGCGCCGCGCCGGACCGAGGCACGCGCGGGTTTGCCCGATTATTACAACGTATGCTCACATTGAATTCGTATGCAAATAGCATCCAGTTATAAAGAATATCCTAGTTTATCGGTCTAGAGATTTGCATACGAACTTAAATCATCGATTATTTGAAAGATGTCTAGTCAATTGATGTTCGAATAAGTCGAGCACCCCTCTCCGGAATCGTACGCAAATGTCCTTCTTGTAAATTTATTACTTATGCGAAATTATGAGGATTTTCTCATAGGTTTTTATTTGATCCACCTATATTAACTCAGTAATTATTTGAAATATTTTGGTAGTGAGGCATCTACTTTGAATTCTAAATGAAAATAAATTACCAGTGTTGCCAATTAAAAGTTATTGAAATTAACAGGCGCATAAATTGAAATAATAAAAAAATTAACTTGTGTCATGTCAACAAACCAATGTGCCTTTTTGTTGAATGAGTTTAATGGAAAAAATACCTATCTGATGAATGAATAATAGGAATTGTTACCATGTTATGTTGAATATTTGAATATATATGTATATAGGGAAGTCTATTTTTCAACATCATTTTCATCGACATATCTGATGGAAAACAACTACTTTTCTGGCTTTGTGCCAACGATGAACACTGAATGATATTCATCAGATATTGAAATATGTAATATCAATTTGAAGGTTTGCGAATTCGTTCAAATTATATGTATGTGTATATTTCATACAAATTTACCATTTTCGACAATCCAGGTCCAATTCGTGGAAGTTGAAAGGATATTCATCTGACAACTCATTGTTGGCAGCTTGAATAAACTGATGAAACGTCCGAGAATTGGTCCTTTTATGTACTTCATGAACAGAAATTTGACTCTTGGGACCCACGAGATCATTTTTGTTCAGTATGAAATATTCTCCATAATAATTATTAGAAATACTTGATCAGATTGTTCTTTGGTTCTTTGGTGAAAACTGTTACACAAATATATTGGCGTCTATTCAAATGAAAAAAAAATCTCCATTACCTTATTCAAGTTATTTCGATGACTCCAATGTGTTACCCAGTTTTTGATCATAAAATCGAGAACTATTTCGTGATATTTCATCTTTTAAACATAATTGGACCGATTGAAAATACTCCTATTGAATACCGGATGCTCATTCCTCCAATTTTGTTAGAACTGAACCGTACATTTCTTTGTCTAACAACTCGCAAATACAGTTCGAGTCCGACAGCTACGCTGAACAGACGTGCTCTACGACTATCGAATACCTTATTTCGAAAAACGTTATCGCTATTAGTGTTTTTTTTGTGGAGTGTTGATATCAAAACCTAAACATAGTGTCCACGAAACTATAAAAAATGAGTGGAAACCCGCCGCCGGGAGGCGGGGGACCAAGTGAAAGTGCGAATTTAATTACAAGTGTATCGAGTAATAACAATATTGGCATTTACGATTTGACCCATGATGAAGAGTTCAATCACAATGAGGACCAAGCGGCAAACGGCAACATGAAATCTGCAGGAAAAGGAAAAGAGGGACCATCGATTCCAAACCGTAACGGCAACCGCTCTACCCAGATGGAGGTCGACGACAGAACAAACAAAAACTTAACACCTAGGTTTTTCAACCTAGACAAAGTTGATCAATACGATAAGGGTAACATCTATATTTATATAGAAAAAAATAATGAGGAAAATATCGGTAAGTTACATCCAATGTCCGTAGGACATATTTTACACAAAAAACTGAATGTAAAAGACATCATTCAAATCAGTAAAGCTGGCAATAATAGAGTGAAAGTCCAACTAAAATCAATTACGGAGGCAAACAATTTGATGAATAACAAATTACTAGAGAAAGAGAATCTAAAAGCATTTATACCCAATCACCTTCTAGTTAGAAAAGGTTTGATATTTGGAATGGATACAGTCTTTGATGAAAAATATATTATGGATAACATCACTTCAGATGCAAATATATTAGAAGTTAGTAGAATGAAACGGCGAGTCATGGTAGACGGTCAATCTACCTTGGTTCCCAGACAAATAGTTATACTCACTTTCGAAGGAACCATATTACCGAAAGCTATCAGCATCAACAGTGTGTATTTTGAAATTGAACCATACGTCTCCAGAGTAGTTCAGTGTTTTAAATGTTTACGTTACGGACATGTATCAAAACAATGCCGTAGCAAAAATACGCTCTGTCAAAACTGCGCCCAACAAAAAGAGGAGAACCATAATTGTGATCAGGATAAAGCTCACTGCCTATATTGCGAAACAAATGATCACAACACATTGTCTAACAAATGTCCCCATCTAGAAAAACAAAAATCAATTAAAAAATACATGGCCCAAACAAACTCAACATTCACTGACGCAAAAAGAGTCATAGAAAATTCTTATGCTAATATTACCACTTCTAATAGATTCGACTTGTTATCTAACTTCAACTTCAACTTTCCGTCGTTACCTTCAACGAGTAATCATCCTAATAACAATAATGTAACTCCAAAACCCATTGGACCAATGCCTTTTCCTACTCAAACACTTTCTCAACCTACAAAGAAAAGGAAAGTCCACATGACTTCTCCCCAACCACCTACAGTCCCCCCTATGTTCCCCTTTCAATTTGGCCCATCACAGCCTGTACCCCATAATAAAACAGTCCCAAGTCTCAGCCAAGAGGAAGTAGTTAGCAACGTCATGGACTTAATTTTGAATATTCTTTCGGGCATCCATAACTTAGAGGATATAAAGAATTTGAATGATAGTGCTATTAAAAATGAAATCATAAAGGTGCTTGATAAAGCACATATTTTCGAAGTGAATTCACTCCCAAAGTAAACAGAATTAAAATTATGCAGTGGAACGCACGTTCCGCTGTATCGAATAAATATAGTTTGCAAAAATATATAAATGAACATGATATAGATCTTGTCATACTAAGCGAGACATGGTTCAAACCAGATAATAGCTATACGTTCTCTGGTTTCAATCTGATCAGAAATATACAGAAATATACAGTAAAATACAGTTGTGCGATAGTCTTGTACTCTCTCATTTTAATCACTGCGATATCGTTTATGGCCCCTGTATTGACACTGTCAACGTCAAACGGATCCAAAAGACGCAAAATTCCTGCTTAAGGCTGATATACGGAATAAAACGCCCTCAGCGTATCTCGCATAAATTAAAAGAGGCTGGATGGCTAAGTATGTTTAATCGCAGAAAACATCATATGGTTTGCTTTTTTAATAAAATACTACTGTATAAAACACCGGAGTACTTATTCAGGAGAATTACCTTCAGAACAGATATACACAATCTGAACTTGCGTCGGAAAAACATGATAACTATACCAAAACATAGAAAAGAAATCTTCAAGAGGTCTTTTTCTTATAATATTGCACTATTTGGCGATGTTCTGGATGTACCAAATTTTTCTTTAAACTTACAGGGATTCAGGATTTGGTACAAACGATACTTGTTTGGTCGACAATGATTTTTTGATGTTTTTTGTTTTTGTTTTATTTTTTCCTTTTATATCGATTTCCGATTAAATTCATGACTCTTTGTTATAATATCCTTATATACTCCCAATCGTTTGTTTATTTCTTCACTCAAGGGAGCTGTGGAAGAATTGGCTTTACAGCCTAACAGTTTTCCTATTATTCACTGAATATTAATCTAATGTAAAAATTAATGTTTACTGTATTGTATCATTTGGTGAATAATAAAATGTATTATTATTATTATTATTATTATTAAATGATAGATATGATGGTAAAGGAGGAACTGCTTTATTGATCAAGAAAAAATATAAATTTCAAGAAATTATAATTAATGATATAAATCCTGAAATATCAGGTTGTGGCGCAATGGTTAAGTTCACAGAGAAGTTCCAACCAGATATCTTATCATTATATCGAGGCCCGACTATAAGAACATCTAATAATGATTGGTTGAACATCTTCCGCAAGGCAAAAAACCCTTGTCTAATTTGTGGTGACTTCAATGCTCACAATGGAACTTGGGGATCCAATAGAAATGACAACGTCAGTCAACAAATTCTGCATGCAGTAGATGAATGTGAACTGGTGATACTTAATAATGGGGAAAGAACAAGACTCTCAAAACCCAATGAACAAAAATCTGCTGTGGATTTATCTCTGTGCTCAGTAGCCATTGCACCTTCCATCACCTGGTCTATTTCACAAGATACCTTAGGCTCAGATCATTTTCCTATTATTATTGATATCCAATGTGAGTCTACCTATAATGATATTATAAACCCAAAAAATAAATGGGATACAAAACGTGCTGATTGGAAAAAATACCAAACATACTGCTCAGAACTCTTTTCAGTGTATCCAACACATGAGAATATAGATCAAAAGTACTCATGGTTTATTGATAAAATGAATCTGGCGGCGGAAGCAACAATACCTTCCAAAAAACCCTTCAGAATTAAAAAAAAACCTCCTCCACCCTGGTGGGATTTGGAATGTGACACAGCAGTGAAAAATAGAAAACAAACATTAAATTCTTATAAAACATCCAGCTCTTGGGATAACTATTTACTATACCAAAAAACTCAAGCAGAAACTAGAAAATTATTCAAAACTAAAGCGAAAAACCATTGGAAGAACTGGGTATCTGAACTCAATAAAAACACCACAAGCCAACAATTATGGAGACAAGCAAAAATCATCCAGAGAATTAAAGTCGATAATAAAAAATCCATTCACGATGAGTGGCAGGAAGAATTTCTCTGCAGTATTTCTCCACCATATGTTTCGAAAATGACGATTCCCACCCCCGAAAGCGGAAATTCATCCCTTTTTTCATGCCAACCCTTCACACTTAGAGAACTTGACCTAGCTATCAAGAAGTCCTCAGATACTTCACCAGGTTTCGATGACATTACATACTCTATGATATTACATCTGTCAATTGAAGCGAAAGTCTTCCTCTTGAGTATTTTCAATGACATTTGGACAAGAAATGCAGACCTACAGTCTTGGAAAGTTGTCAATGTTCTACCCATTCTCAAAAGGGATAAAGATCCGAATTTAGCCTCATCCTACCGTCCAATCTCCTTGTTTTCATGCATTTTCAAAACTTTCGAAAGAATGATCAAAATAAGATTGGAATGGCATCTTAAGATGCTCAACATACTACCTCTTAACCAATTTGGATTTAAAACAGGATATGGTACCTTGGATGCTGTCGCAACATTGGTGACGGACATACAGGGCTCATTGACGAAGAATAATTATTTGGGAACAGTCTTTCTGGATATCAAAGGAGCATACGACTCAGTGGATTTAGAAATTCTGAAGGACAAGTTAATTGATCTGCAAATCCCTCCATGTACTGCACACATTTTGACCAATCTCTATTCAGGCCGATATATCTGGCTGAAAACATCCTCTAATAACAGAATTGGCCCTCGTTTG